GAATGTATCCACCAGAAAAAAAATATATATATAAACGTAAATAAAATTAATTTTCGATACAGGCATAGGTAGTTGTCTACCGTTTTCCTAATGCTATATCAGAGTGATATATTTTTTATATTAATATTTTTTTATCTAATTCCGATACAGGTAGAAAAGTGTCGATATGAAAAAAAAAATCTACGAAGTATATGCTCCCTTCTTTTCTTTGTAAATATGCATACACAGCATATTTTTCAGTTTCGAATAAAAATGAATCTGATATTTTATTATCATATACTTGTTACAAACTGTTATAAGTCATTGAAATTGCTATAAATTGATAAAATCAGTGAAATTGCTATGTATACGAATTATCACTATACCTGCAAAATGGTTAAAACTAACTACTATAATGGTTTGAATCCTGCCGTATCACAGGTATTAATCAATCTGCAATATAGGTATAGTGATGAAACGCCAGAAATATGGTGTTCTCGTATTCGTTATCCATTTAGAACACTTCTAAAAAACAACCCGAAATACTTCTCCAAGAATAGATTTATCCAAATGGTTGAAAGGATATATATAGATTGGGAATTTAAAGCTGAGAGACACTCATTTAATATTTATTGCACTGTATGCGACACCTTGGTGTTTATCCGTGAAAATATTATCGAATGTGCCAATCATCACCTGAATGAATGCATTGCTAAAACAGCTAAAAGGCATTTTGCACATTCTAATCCTATTTAGAAAAAAGAAGGAAGAAACGTATCATCGCTTAGTTCTGATGAGGTTGATGATATTTTTATGAATTATTCTATATATCCACAGCATGGTTATCGTGTATATAATACGGAGAATGAATTTAGAGAGAAAATTGCTTATTTCTTATTTAATGGTGCAAAAATTATCCAACAGGCTTGAAGAGCTTTCAAGTTGAAACCCGAAACATGGGCGAAACGGGTTTGAAATATGGTAAGGAATGATGACACCCCTAATGAGAAGAAGTTTTTAGATATAAATATTCATGTTAAAAAAGCTCCTAGTTATCA